CCCAGCCCGGGGGCACTGCGGTGCTTCCCCTGTGCTGCTGGGGAAATGCTCTGATTTAAAATGGAAGAGGATGCAGTCGTGACAGGCTGGTTTTGACAGCAGGTCTCAGCCAAAAATATGACATCCTTTTCCCCTTGTCTCCAGTAGATGATGATCAGATGCTTTGGACAAATGCTTCCTCCATCTGTCCTCCAACATGGGGGCCAATATAAAATCAGGTTTTACAGACCTACAGGTAGTTAAAAGGATAATTTTTTTTATTGGGATTTCTGCCCAAAACAAGCAAAGATGGACGACCTCCCTGCCCGGGCTGCCCCGGGTCGCTGAGTCCCTTTGCCAAGCAGCCGGGCCCTGTCCCCAGCGGGCGCACCCGACATCCGCATCAGCGAGGCCCCAGCATGGGATGGCAGAGCTGTGGGACAAGGGGCTGGAGAGCCCTACGGGGCTGGCAGCTGCTGCCTTGCTTTTGCACCCGCTATTTACCTTTATGTCCCCAAACATTGCCGGCAGGTTGTGCGTCTTTGTTCCCAAGTGCAAGTGGTACAGAAGGTCCTCCTCCATCAAGTCCAAGTGCGGGTTTTTAATGTGGACAACCCACTGCTGTGGGGAGATGGGGCGAAGACTGGTCGGGACACCGGGCAGTGCCCGCAGGATTGGGGACGGGGCGTGGGGTGGCCTTGGGAGCCCCATGAGGGGCACACACGGCCCTGGGGTCAGGGCAGGGGTGGGACAGGGACAGGGACGAGCCAGCTCTGCGTGGCGTCCGGGGTGGCTGCCTTTCTGTCAGAGCCCTGCTGTCACACGAGCTGTCCTCTTTCTTACATCCGTCGCTACTGGTAACCTCTTCAACATCTCTTCTATTATGTCGGTGTTATTTAGCAAAAAATGTTTCTCAGTATTTATCCTCAATTTTGTTAACGGCAACCTTAGCTCGCTCTTTCATATAATTCTGCCAGAAGTATCTGTCAGGTAATGTACTGTGCTATTTTGTGTGTGACACCTTATTAAGCTCTTAGCAAATCAGGATTTTATATTTATATTGTCCCAAATAACTGCCTAGTAGTACAAGTGCAAATTAAATTCAGATTCGGCAGACAGCAGGAGGCCAGTTTGCCTTCCCTTTCCACCTGCTCTAATAGCTAGAAAGCAACTAACTAACAATACAGGTCAATTTTATAATGAAGGCTTAAACAAAACCCAGAGAACATTGTTCTTGTCTTATGAAAACAAACTCAAGCCCTCCCCCGTTACTCACCCGGAGTAACCTGTTGTTTCGGCCATAGCGGCTCTACCAGAGTCAGCTGAAAGCGATACTCTGCAGAAAAGGCAAGGAAAACACCCCGCTATTTCTTCAGCTGTTGGGTTTCGGAGCTCAGAAGAGGTTTTAAGGGGCTCTGCAGGGGGTTAAACACCCTCTCCGGCTTTGTGCGGCTCCCAAGATCAACAGCGGCCGGGCCCCCTCCACCCGCTCCCCTTTGCCCCGTCAGGTGCCGGAGGTTCCTCCGCCGGCCGGCGCCGCGGTCCATCCCACGTTGGCTGTTTTGGCAGGTGTGTCGCCGTTAACCTCG